TCGGACTTCTCTACCACTCTCCGCGCTCACATTATCTCTCATCTCCCTGCCTGTCTTTTGAACTTCTCCACAGCATAGAGCAAAATGCTCGTATTTCCTGTGTATTTCAGGATTTTCTTTCCTTTTTTCTCCACTGGCGGTCCACCTCCCATCCCTACTTTCACATTTGAGTGGAATCAACCCATCAATTTAATCCTGATTCTTGCCTTTAAGTAACCGTCACATTTACTTATTTTCACAATCAGAAAAAGAAAAGTCAGAGATGGGGAACGTGCATGGCCAAGCACAGCACTTTGCGGCGCAAGCAACTGTGCCTCTACCTCACCGGGTTCCTCACCAAAATCCGAACTTCTTTGAAAGGCTTCCTTGATGAACGTGAACCCTGATATCATGAAAACAAAATAAAAATACCTGAAAATATCAGGTATTTCTGTGAATGAGTCGTTTTCGTTTGAATTTTTTCACAATCACGAACTGACGTCGTGGCAAACATACCGAAGAAAACAATGGAGGCCGTCTATTCAATCCTGTCCTGTTCCAATTTCTTCTACTGTTATCCTTTCCGTGCCCGACCTTCGGGCTTGAGTTTTTGGAGATGGCAAACCGCATTTTCTGTCCATTCAGTGAAACCTGGCTTCGGTTGTTCTCAACGAGAGAGACATCCTGGAGTTCTTTCGTTCCGTACCCATTGATTTCTACTTATCCCATCTTCTATAATTCTGACTTTGTTTCATTTCAGATTTCCATGAAATTGACGCAAAGCTGAAACCAAGTACAGAAGGAATAATTAGATGTCACAGGTAAGCAGCTGAAAATTAGTTGCCTTCACTACCGTGCTACGGACCATTTTTGGTCTTTTATGAACGATTTCAATGTTGGCGAAGTGTTGAATGATGTGATAAGGATTCATAAATCATTTTTTTTTGACAAATTTCAATCCAACTTTCCTCTAAGAAATGAAGTCAATTCAGTAAGTTTTCAGTCTTCACGTCGCTGTTGGGCGACTGCTCTCCTCATCACTGTCAGTTGTTTGCCATCAGTTATCGTCGGCTACCAAGACTACCAGAATTCTATCAATCAACATGCCACTAAATCTGAACATGCCCCTATATTACAGGTAGGTATATCCTAACCTTTAGCCCTTTATAAGCATTCTATTATTGGTTCTCAATGAGGTAGAATCTCGAGAAGTAAATACACTCTTGAGGTGATGTGCATTAGACTGCATCATTAGAAAGTGAGAAACCCAAGAAGCAGCTAATACACTAAGTAGATTCTAACCATTTGATCAAGTTACCACCCAAGACGTGTGATCGACTAACTTTAAGTTTTTCTTCATAAGCGGTAAGCCGTCGTCGTGGGCTCTCGTACCTTTTTTCTCTTATCTCAATTATAGGATCTTTGTGGTATATATCATATGAGTTGGAGAAGGTTTGAAGAGCTTAATCAGCGTGAGCCTTTTAAATTGATTAGAAATGGCTACTGGTATATTTGGAAGGTCGTTTTGATCCTAAATAAAGTCAGGCTAAATTGAAAATTATCGACTAAGGGGGCGGCTATTAACAGATCTCGCTCCGCGGGAAGGTTACGTGCCAGAGACTCAGCAGTGGGTCGACATCACGTCGGTGTCACCTAATCCTCCCATGCGAAGTCATGCAGTATATTAGTCAGGTCTGAGGGGGGAAGATTGACTATAGCGCTTTCTCGAATTATCCATGTTTACTTTTTTCTATGATCTGTTATGGTTTACCTCTATATCGAAAATGTTTTTTCTCCATAATTAAACAAAGCTATAGTCTTAGTGCGACCTGGATTCGCCAGCTACGCTTACCAGTACATTCTCAACCAGGTCGCAGGGTGCAACCATTTTTGCCGTGGATCAGAGGGGTTTTCTCTACTTGAATGCTCCCAATATCGACGCAGATCCACCAAGCCCTTCGTCGTATCAATTGAATGTAAGTTCGTTTCTTTATCATCCAATAACTCTCAGAACAAAATTTTACAGTAGCGGTCGCAGCAACTACCGAATAGTTTCTAAAATACTACTTTTTCTTTCTTAAAGGACGAATTTACGATGGAAAAGCAACCCATTCCAAATTGAGGTAGAGATGGTGAGTAGTACCAGAAAGAAAGCGAAACCACGAAAAACGGCCCAGAACCGGAGAAATGGGACCCCTTCCTTGTCCGTTGATTTGAGCATTGATGGGACTCTCATCGCTTTGCCCTCTTCAACCCTACGCTCTCTCAGCTATCTAATCACTCGCCACCTATTGTACTACGGCGAGTGATCAGACGATCGGTGGGCGGAGATCGCCGAACTCGCCAACTTTGAGCCATGCTAGATCTCAGAGGTCAAATCTTTCGATGCCGATTGCGTGTCTGTCCGCACCCTCAAGAGATTCACCGCTCTCCCCACTAGGCGATTTCTCCCTTCTTCGACCTTCGTTCTTTCCGTGCAATCCTCCTTTAAAAGGCAGTGACGCGCAATGGGATGTAAAGGGGGTGAGGGAGGGTATATGGTTAGTGGAAGGTTTGAATAACGTCATTTAGGCGTCATTAGTGACGAACGCACTCAGCGCGAGCTGGACTGCACGATTGAGATCGCTTTCTAACGCTTTTCCACCAATCACGCCCAATGGTGCCAGAAAATCGCTCCGCCCTTTCATCGTGTCCTCTGCCTCCAACCAACTTGTTTCCATTTTAACGGTATGGTATCGAGCTTTAGCTTTTGGAACTCACAAATTTGGAACGTTAGAGAGTCAAGCCTCCAATTACTGTATGAGCCTTTGTTCTGTTGAATAGATAAAAACAATGCATCGAAAATCGTTTGTTTCTGACTTTTTGACCGCGCTAACCGGGTTCCGAGCTTTGCATGAGGTCCCTATGCTTCATTTCTCCAGTGTATTAGCTAGTGATGCTGCCTATTAGTCCAACGACCGATACATTTCTATTCTAGATACAAGCACGAGAGGTGGACACAGTACCGATTCGGAGTAGCGAGCCGGTGACGATCACCATTCATGTCATCGACGTCAACGACAATCCACCGCAATTCGAGCAGCCAATCTATACCGTCAACGTGTCCACGTTTGGTGATGAAAGGCCGGTGGTCAAGGTAGGGGTCTTGTACAGAGCAGATAAGGGAGCTATGAGAATATTCCGTCAGCAAGAAGCTCCACTGACCAGAAAATGGGATATCAGCTTCCCTAAAATAAAAGAAACCGCACATATCGGAAATAGGTTATTGTATTGTTTCATTGAAAAATAATTTACCGACGTGAGTGAGTTGATCATCTGAATGAGTTCCATACGCTTCGTGAGAGCGCTCCCGACGCTTATCCGTTTTCATCATGGCAGCTAGATAATCACATTAGCACACTGCTGCGTACCACCCACAGCACGCTCATCGGGCATTGGGCCAGTTTTCCTGTTCAGGTTGTCAAGCTCGCTAGCCTTAGTTTTGCCCCTTAGCCTTGATCCCCCTCCACCTATGAGGGAATATTTACGAAGTAAACTTTCATCTAAAAAGAATATTTCAACTTTCATCACAAAATTTTGATTTGATTTATGGAGAAGGCCTATCACAGCGTCCAGCAATTTCTCCCTACATATTACATGGGTATGAACCCCTCCTTTACCTTAACATAGTGTTCCATGAATAGGGCACTTCCTTTCCTTTTTCACTGAAACCAGGGAATTTCCAAAACACAAATGATTTAGTACATCTGGACGAAAGTTCAGCCTCTGTAGGAAGTTTATAGGTTAGAATAATTCCGCTTTCTCTAATCTTTCGGGTTTTTTCTAGGTATTCGGCGACGATCCTGGCCTGCTAGGCGAATTCGTACAAATCTCGTATATGGATCTCCTGCAGCGTAATTTTACTGTCTGTCGGATGCAAAAACATTGCGCAGATTTCTTCTACTTTCATGGCTTCACTTGGTTCATGGTTCATGGTTCACATTTTCATCAATTGAATACCATTTGCAGGTGACCAATGGAGCTGAAGGGCGGTTTCGTTACGACGACCCCACCAACACCCTGTACGTCAATGGCGACCTAACACCTGGCGAGCGATATCAGGTGAACATGAACTCATGACACGCAACGTTCCCGCACATTCCTTCCAAATGTAGTCTAGGCCTAAAGTTCCCGCAATCTTGCAGCCGGATGCGCACTAAGTATGCATAGGTTGGCGAAACTCTGGTTTGGGGTCCACTCCCTGTTAATACTAGTGTGCACTCCTTTGGACCTCAACCCTATGAATAAGATAGCTTAACGACTCATTCTAGGTGCACTTTTGATAGGGCCGGTGTATGCCCTACATCACGCACATCCTGCATACATCCCAGTCCAGCACATTTTTGCGCGTGTGGTCGTCCAACCCTAGGCTCCTTACAGCTCCTGCACCTAGGAAGGATACCCTTATCCTAAGTGTTGTTCAGGGCCATGGAGTGCCCTACCTTCTCCCCGAACTCTAATATCACCGGTTGCCGCCAAATGTCGTTTTGTCCTTATAGCTACAAAATTTTATCCAGAGCCTATACCGTTGTTTACGCAGTTAACAAGAGATGTAAGCTCGTCGATTATCAACACAGCAACCTTTCCAAAAATGAGTATGTTCCTTATATGTAGACAACGGTGTCTGTTCAGGTAGTCATCGAGGCCACCGACGGTGGAGGCAAGTCATCGCAGGCGATAGTGGTCGTTTTGGCCACTCATTCTGTATTCAGTTTGGCAAGCTTGGCTCCATTGCCAGGAATGGAGACGTTCGTGCCCAATCCTGCTGCATATCTCACTACTCCAACAGTGGCTACGAGTGCCGGTGGGTCCTACTTTTAAGCGGTTTTCTTTTCATTTTCACAAATAATGGTACTTTCAGAAGTAGAAGAGACAATACAGACGTTCGTCACGGAGGTCGCCGAAAACACCCCTGTCAACACGGTGGTGGTGTCACTTGGAGTGAGTTTATCGAGCAATAAAAGCCTCCCGACAAGGGGGCTCTCGATTGTCGATACTGAAAAAAACAGGAGCAACAAACGATCTACAAACGAATTTTTAGGGTGATTCTGTGAATGACGACGTTTACTTCACGATTGCCGGCGGCAACAACGAGGAGAAGTTCGCCATCAATGAGAAGACGTGAGTTCATGTCAGAACGCCTGTAACGTGACTACCTTAACGATGGAGTGATGGCCTTCTAGAGCACTGATTTTTTGGACACTCTTAGGACGCCTTTCACCGCGAAATTTTGCGCACCGTTCTCACCATTTCTTACCCAAACAATTTTCCAATCGCATTTGTCGGGTAGAGAAGCTCTCCAGTTTGCAATTTACTGAGCGGCTTGATCTCGAACTGCGAACCGAAAAAGAAGTGCAACAATCGCACGATTTGGTCACTTGTGTTCGAGAGGCGCTATCGAATGAGAAAAACTGGACCCTCCCTTTTCAGTCTTTGTGCGTTGTTTTTTATCGCTTCAAAAGGACGCACGAAAGGCAAAGGTCGCTGCTGGTGCTCATTCTGTCCCTGAGGGGTAGAGGGACGGGTGGTAGTGTTGCAGCAACCAGGATCGAATCCTGCTCGAGTTAGCTAGGCGCTCCTCCGTTTTTACGTTGACAGTTTGAGACTTTAGACCGTCAGTAAGAGACCCACTTGGGATGAAGCGTCGCTTTCTTCTGTGTTAGCTAACCGAGTGTCTCGTGTTAGGTAACTGATTATGTGGGCCAGCAGCATTATGTATGTTAATAATATGGTTCTAAATGTGAGTTGAGTGCACGGCTTGTCCTTAAGAATGAACCCTCATCCTCTACGCAAGGAGCTCACAAAATAATTACAATAATTAGACTGGACTTGTGCGATAAAGAATGCTAATGCCAGTTTTACAAGGATTGTGAACGAAACTTCTGCTCCAGACGGCTATATATATGCAAGTTTCGTATCGGGCACCGCCTTACAAGTTACGCAACGAATCTTAGCTTGAGGCAAAAGTTTTGGTGCATTCCTCATTTCCTGTGCATATCAAGCCGAATGTCAAAAACATCAGTTAACATCAAAAACAAGCTTAATTCAGTTTAGATGCACAGATGGATTGAAGTAGCAACCGTCATTATAAGCCGACATCGGCGCCTGCTTTCTAGTTTCCTTGTTACTCTCAGCGGTTTTCTTGAAATGCGGGAAAAAGCGATTAGAATTAGGCCCACTGCTCGTATGGGGTGAGCAATTCACAAACGGCCCACTCCTGGTCTCTATTCAGTTTACTTCCTCTTTCAGAGGAAGAAAAACGAAACTTTTGCGCGTGAAGATCAAGCACTATAGGCGATGCGCCACTATGCGAGTCATTTTACCCACCTCTCCTTTGCACCCATTCATTGGTACATATATGAACCTAACTAGGGGATTGTATTTCGGAAGCCATTAGCCGTCAAACGAAATTATTATACATTGCGATCCCTGACCGGAAGTGGCCACCAGTTTTCACTATACCAAAAGTTTCAAGTTTCCGCCAAAATAAGTGAATCCAATGCTACTAAACCTATAGCTAAGCTAGAAGTTAATCAAAAAAAAGGTTTTTGTTGAAGGGGCACGATCACTACTGTTGGCGAATTCGATCGCGAACGAACGGCAATGTACTCACTGCAAATCGACACTCGAAGTCGACATCCTGATCAGCATCTTTACTGGACGCTTGTTCAGATCAGTGTACTGGTAAGGAAATTTTCACACTTCATTGAACTTTGGCAGAATGGACAATAAAAAAGTGAAAGCCAAAAAGGAGAGTGAACTGCTTAACCTGTTCTCGCTATTCGACTCTGACAAGGGCAGTTATATATGCGAAGAAGAGAGGGGAGGCGAGGGCACTACGGATGAGCATACGCAATCCGTGGATGAGAAAAGTTGAAGTCGTCCACAATGCTTTAGCGTCCTTGTCGCGTATTTCCGAGCTGGGAGAACGGGTCATCTACGACCAGGGACAGCCTCATCCTGCCAACCGAAAGATTTCCCATCCGAGTAGTCTATGTGTTTCGTGGATGTGTCTCTAAAATGGGTTTCTTTCGTTACTCTGCGTACAAGAACAATTGAGTAAACTGCTCAGAAGAAAACCAACCTTTGTTTTGGATTATATATGAGTCCAATACAAAACAGATCGTCGTTAATGGATTTTTACTTTGCAGGACGTCAATGACAATTCACCTCATTTCGTTGGTGCTCAACCAATTCGTCTAAGGCTCAGCGTTGACAACCTCGATCAACTGACTGCAAACATGGTCATCGTAAGTTGTCCTTGATTGGATTCGCTGATAAAAGTCCAAGTTGAGGAAGAGGAATCATTCCGAATTTCAGGTAAAATAACGGTTGAAGATCCAGATGCTGACGACAATGGTTACGACTGGAGCTCCGAGTCGCTTCAGACATGAACAGGTGACACAATTCTAGAATTGTCCGCTAATCACTCTTGAAGTGATCTTATAACGTATTCATCTATTTTTGTCATTGGTGGTGACTAGTTCTACCTAAAGGCCGATGTCAGACTCTCGAATTGCCGATTTGCTGCGTCCGCGTCCGCGTTGCTTGTACTAGCCAATGATGTGCGTTCACTGGCCGCGGAGGCGACCGCAGGACGCTTAGCGAATCGCGCTTGTTATTTCGTCAAATTTCGACATTCTGGCCAAAGTTATCTAGCCTTGAAGAGGAACATTCACAGAATTGCACCTATAAAATTCCTATAGGACCTAACCACACCAACGAGCTACACTTACTTGTAACAGTAAAAACTTTGGAAAGCCCGATTCAGTAGAAGTTCACTACAGTAACTACGAGAGAAGTGCTTTATGCCCTATCGACGGCAGCCTCCGTCGATAGGGCATGAAGTCCATGAAGGGGCATGCCAGCAACGTGGTGATGTATAATACTTTTGGAGCGTGTAGATAGATTATTGAACAATTTAACGTGCCGGTGCAGCGCTTGTGCGAAGCTACCGTTGCAGGACAAAACGGTAGAATAGTCAAGTGTGATAAGCTAGTCATGTTTTGGCTTCAGTTTCAGCTTAGCAGTTACATTGCTACCGGCCTTCATTAGAGTGTGATCGTGATGAACACTAAAACTGATTAGATATTGATCATAATTATTTTCAGGCTATTCACTGTCTCGAATGATGGCGTTGTGGCTATCAACGGCGACTTCACCGCTGCCCATTTCGGTGAGCACCGACTGTTTATCGTGGCACGGGATCATGGAGATCCTCCCAGGGAATCAAAGGCCGAAGTGATTGTGAGCATCTTCGGCACTCTGATCACCATGGCCACTGAATTGCCAACGGTAAGAGCTGCTCGACCTTTTCTCCTTGAGTATCTTTATCATCTTCGAAATCCTTTTCAGAGAATTTTTTATAGCCTTGTCCTTGGCTCAAAGAACATTCATTTCAAAAACGAGGGTCAGGATCAAATAAATGTTGTTGTCCTAGTCGATAATGAAAGTAGGGACGCGAGGCGGGCCGCAATAGGAGAAAAAAGAGAAAGAACCCCTCCGAACTGCAGAAAATACAGACCTTATGGTTCTATTCCACAGGAATGGCTCAGAAGGGGTGGCGCGAATTCAAGTCCTAGCGGGAGCCCGACCCTAGCCTTTACCTAAAAAACGACATTGTTGATTTTGCAAACTCCGACGGCTTCTACATATATAATTATGTTATTATGGTAAAGCGACGGTTAACAAAAATTCAACACCTCTGCTGGGACTCGAACTAATGCCTCGTGCTTGCTGGGTAACATGGATTCCCTTATTCACCATAGAAACCATTCATTACTTTTTCGATCAATAAACATAATAATAATAAGTATTCAATAGTATTTTATCTTTTTACCATATCCACCTCAACGTTCGATGTTTCAGAGTGAGACGTTTGAGTACACGAACTCAGCAGAAGAGGAGTCACCAACACAAACTGACTACTACTTCCAATCCATTACGACGGTTCCCTCCAACATACACAGTGGGTTTGGCGATTCTTTGTACGCGCTTGTGGACGCTAAGCTATTCTGACCGTTCGATGAAATGTTGCACAAAATGCTAAATCCATGAAAATGTTACAGTCATGAATCCGCGATAGTGCTTTCCATAACACCCTTATGTTATCACCCATGGTTTCTCACCTATGGTTCCCAAGTACTTCCTAAAATCCAACTTCCAGGATGTATTTTCCAAAATCTGCGAGCAAAAATGAACGTTGAACCGTGATAAGCTCGAAGGTCGAAAAAAGGATAAATAAACCTATTCGAGAGGCAGGCGAGCTCACTAAAGGTGCTACGCGTGTTTGCAGCGAGTAGTATGCCCCAGCAGCCAAGCAGGGCCACAGTCGCACCGCTCGCACCTCTGCACGAGGTAGCCCTCGCGTCTGATTGTAGCCATTCGGCAGAGAGAGCGTTGGCCATGAAGAG